GTCACTCAAAAACTCGACCCTTTCTGTGCCCTTGTAAGGATGCTCATTCGCGAACTTCAATATGCCTTCAGAACACATATTCCCGTTGAACTGAGTCAAAGCATAATTTGGTTATCATCGATCGATTTGGTCCGAGTGTGCGCCGTGCATTACGCTTCTACGCAGAGGTGGTGGAAAGGTGTAACTTCTGATTTAGGTGATTTGTCCATGCAAGCAGATCTTTGTTAAGGGCATGGAAAAGTCGATACGCACGAATCTGTCTGCGTCGCATTATTTAGTCATTTACATGCTTACGAATTCATGGTATCTATTCATATTGCTAAATAATTATTTTTGATATTTTGTAGTCTCCCACACATTCGGATCCTCTGTAGCACTGCGTACGCTCCATCGAATTAGCGATGACACTTTTGTGCTGTTTGGTGCTCACGCTGACGCCCCGCGATTACAATGTTATACTGGCTGAAAAGTCTTGCGACGATGTGACGAAACCGCCTTTCTCAATATTCTGCCGCGGACGCTGCCGCAGAAACAAAAGTTACGGAGCTTTTTAGGGGAAAAAAATTGGCCCCCGCTCGGCATCAGTACAAATGGCGAGTTAACGGTTCACTTCAATTTTAGCGCGTGGCCGAGTAGTTATACTCGAAATCCCTGAAATCGGGTAGGCGTGGCCGCCTGTTTAGACTTAACCTGAAGGTGTCTGGGCTTCTGGTGAGATATTTTCATCTTGACACACTTGCTGTCCTCTCTTTCCTTGTTTCAACCGCAGGAACAAGACTGACAGTTGTCGCGCAGACTGGAATATACCAACGACTAACCAGTTTCGTGGCATGTTCAAATGCCGCGCCCTACTCTGCCTCAGGGATAAGGAGTGTACGTCGTAGGGCTCATGAGTGCGCGTTCAAGGGTTTGAATCCTTGATGCGTGTGCTCTTTTGCATTTTTTTATTTCGAAACTGGTCTCTTGATGCACTGGCAAAGGCATTTTTCGTTTCAACTCTTGTGCTATGATATATGCGTGACGTAATGTGGGATGGAGCCATTGCGAACGATTTCATGTTGAACATTTCTGGCTGAAGAGATTGTCATAGAAGCCGAAGGAGGTGCGAGAGCACCACTTTCGGATAGAACATCCTTCCATAGAACATCTCCAGCATGATTACCTCATTAACGCTACGTCATTTGAAAGAATTTTTCAACTGTACTCATCTTCGGGGCAGGCACTACTTGCGGTTTTGCGGAGTTCGTTCCTGTCATTCTGGTTTCGAGGATAGGTCATTTTGTTTGGATAAACTCAGCTCGTTGGACGCACTTAGTTTTGAAAATATGCTTTTCAAATCAAGAGAAGAGTCACACTGGGCAAAAAATGTTTCCCAAGGAATCGTCCACAATGGCTCCATCACTTTCAGAAACATTACTTCACGACATTATCAGGCACAAGAGTTGTGCAAAATAGCTTTGAAGTGCACAGAGACCACTTCGAAAAAATGCAAAAGAGCACATGCACCAAAGGACCAAACCCTCGACCACGCATTCGTGAGCCCTACGACGTGAACAGGAGAACAGTTCTCGACGCAGTCGAAAGCATGCGCATCGATCGCGTCGAACGCGCGACCGAAGCGCTGCAGTCGCGAAGTCTGAACGCTGCCTTCCCCTTACGCCGCCAATTCATACTGAATGTGAGCGTCCCCCCCCTAAAAAGGGGGCATGCAGCAGAAATGGAAAGCGGTTTCGTGATCCCCGTCCGAAGATCTGTGTAAGCCACGCCGGCTCAGGCGTGGAATCGGCATTCCGGTGGGATGACTCATGACTGTACTTTCAGGGCGTGACGGCGAGGCGAGGACGAGCCGACATCTCAACGACAGTCGATCATCTGCCGATCTCGAGGACGCTCGAGCTTCTTCTCAGTGCCTTCAGGGCGAAGCCCTGCCTCACCCAGAACTGTTGATCTCCTGTTGTCTGTCGTGTCATTGTCGTGCCTATTAGCCTATGTAGTGGATCTTTGCCATTTAATATACTCTTTGTAAATGCCATTTATACGCTGATCTCATATACTTCATTGATGCCTTAAGGATAAACTTTAGTGAGTAGACAGTCTTACGACAGAAGCAGGGAATGCAGCTTCCGCGGTGCGCGCTCGCTTACTTCTGTCATCCGGTATACATTTCATTTCAGATGGCCACTTCGATCTACCACCCTTCCCTTGTCAGCTGACCGTTTACTATCGCTTCAAGGAAAACAAATCTCAGTAGTACAAAACAGGCTGCACAAAATTTTGAGGTTTATTAACAACTTGGAAGGAAATCATTCAATAAGGCACAAAAATTGCACACAGGCAAAACCTGACGCTACACGGACGATATCAACGTAAAGTTGGCGAGGCCAGCAGCTCTATCACAAAGAGCAGCAAAGTAGCTTCTACGCCTTGGACAATAACGCTAGCTTGTAAAAATACAATAGGAATGAGAGAAGACTTAAAAGGGAAGTGATCGCACCAAACAACGGAATGTAACAGTGATATTCTGAGAAAGCACAAATCTACACGTGTCGAACATAGGGAGGCGGTGAGACAGGCAAACCTGCAAGCAAGCATTACTTCCTCAACAGTGTAACGGGAAAAGTGGACGGAATTGTCAAAAGTGAAAATAACAAATCTGAAATGAAAATGAAGGTGATTGTCAAAAATGGTAACAAAGCATGTTTGCAGTATGACGAATGTCTCAATATCGTGTCTGTGGAAACGATGGTGAAAGTGTGGAAACTCCCCGAGGCGAAACTGCAGAACAACGTTCAGACTTCGCGATGACGCGCGTCGATGCGCTACCACTGTAACAGCGCTCCAGCTATAGACACGAGCGCGGTCATCGACGGGTATTGATCGGCGCCGGCCCTACCAGGGCACGTCATCGTTGGGGATCACCTCACAGGGAGGTCGTATTTGGCCGTTGGGGGAAGAGAGGGTCGTATTTGTCTGAGATTTTTTTGATGGTTGATTTTGCTTGTTTCGCGGACGCTATAAGGGTGCGGGTCGTATTTGTTATTGTTCTAACCAGGACCAAGACCAGGTCAACAGGTCAGTCCGGCCATTTCGAATGAGGTGCACACTGTTGTACGCCCCCTGGCACGGTGAACTCAAATCTACCTTGTGGAATTTGCTGAACGATACTTTGAAGAAAGTTATAGAGGTTTTCCATCTTGCTTTTCTCTCGAAAGCGCGCTGGCCCCCTAGCGGTCAGGGCCTGTAGCGCGCGACATAGCCACTTTCGCTCGAAACGGATGTGATGCGTGTTGAATTTAAATAACCTCCGGGGACGACACACCAGCAAAATCTGAGATTTTTACTCAACTCCGAAAAATGTGGGGTTGGGTTAGTCATGAATGAATATATTGACTTTAGATCTAGCCTATCACCGATGAGTGGTATTCTTGCTGATAACTCGTTGGCCATGCATCTTTCTCTTTGAGTTGCGTCCGGGGCGGCAGACAGTATTGCTTCCCTTGTTGCATTCATCTCTCAGATTTCGCAATAGGTAAAGGGGGGATTCAGCCTAATAAGGGGTCAAGTCAGACGAGATGAACCAAGGCGCTGAAGCGCTCTCCAGTTGTCTCACCCACTTACTCCCATCAGAAAACCCGAACGTCTTTCGTAAGATTTGAGTAGACTACGTTCACATTTGCTAGATAGCGTTAGGCTATAGGGGTAATTTGACCCGCTGGAACATGAATAGATCCATTAGTTGACTACAAAAACCCTTTTGCGACCTGCTGGTAGGCGAAGGGGAAGCACCCCAGCACCTTTATGACAGCCACGAGGGTCTAACTGGTGGAGAAGCGGCTGATCACAGATCTCGTACAGGTGAGAAGCGCGGATGAGCAGGGCGCTTGAATGCTCTGCTTGACGAATTGCTCCTGAGAAAGAGGAAAAAAGTCGCTCAAGACGGGGGAGGTTGATGCGAGTGAATTGATGCTTGTGAAACCCATTCACTACCGCGGTTGCGGCTCACTCGTAGCGCTTGATGTACTCGCTCATCGGTCACTTATTGAAGGGCCGCTTCACAATCCGATGAGATGAGGCATTCGAAAGCCACAACGGGGGAAGATAACCCTGTAATATGTTCAGAGAGTCGTTAGCCCATTTCACGAAGAAAGTTAGTGAGCGTCCGCGTCACAAGACGCTGCATAGCGGTGTACATGCGTATTGCAAGAATGGCCGGGCTGATTTGGTGACCTCCTCTGGTAGAGGCTGTTTGGCGCTTCTGAGAACTTGCGCGCGTTAGGCGAAAGGATTGATTTACTCGTGGTGGTGTTGACCTTTTAGCCAATACTTTCCATGTAGCCATTGTGGTTACACGTAAATCCAGCGCCTGCCGCGACCAACTCTCGAGGAAAAACAGGAACTAGCTGGGGGAGTGGTCAGCCATCCGCACTAGTTCAATGCGGCAGGCAGTTTAGAAGGGGTAAGCGTACGGAATCGAACTCCGAAAGGTCATCTATCCTATAGACTCTCCTAAAACGCCTAGGACGAGGAGCGTGCGATCGATGCCAACTGTGTGGTTTAGCAATGCGGGCCATACACTACCGCGACACTATTCTCCTCCTCTTTTCTCTCTCTCTCTCTCTTCCTAATCTCTTTACATTCTTTCATCACCCTCTTGAAACAGTAGCGATCAACTTTCGCGTCTCGTTGGTTGCGTTCCCGTACTATAGCTCCGGAGTGTAGCTCCAACGCAGCAGCTCATCCCCCTCCTCTTCCGCAGAGTCTGACCGCTGCCTAAGGGTCGTTGCCGCCGAACCATAGTGCCAGAGACCGGGAGCCCACCAAGCTACATCTGTGATATGGTCTTTTGAACGCGCTCCCTTCATTTGCCAAATTTTTCATCTTACCATTAGAAGGATCTCATGTCAGTCCTCCACAAAAACAGGGCATGCCCCTCAACAATTTGAAAGTGCCTGCGTTTTGGAAATTTCAATTAGTGTGTTTTCTTCGAAACACCGACTCACCTACGACAAACAGAGTCGTTCACAATCAGCTTTCTTCTCGAACCGATTCGCATTTCCACCACAACCGCGATAGAAGTAGAGCTTACAACGACGGTCTTTGGGCGAGTAGAAATAATGCAGGTTGGTTCGGGGTGGCACTTCGTCCTCACGGCAGGCGCGTCCTACAAAACAACGAACTTTACTTTAGCTCCCTAACTTAGTGACCTAGTGTTCAGCTTGGTAGATTCCTCGCAGGAAAAAGTTCAAAAAGTTATGTTCCAACCTTCGGAAGGCTTGATATGACACACAGATTTGTCCTCAACTGTCTTCGCGACTGGCATTTCCTCTACTGCTGGCGGCTCAGTGGGTAGGTCAATGATATGTTCATCTTCGGATTCGGGCAACGCTGTCGTTAGTCCAGTCGCGGCTAGAAATTGTACTGTAAAGTAAGTTATGCCTACCCTGAGCCCTTAAGCAGTAATACCAATTGTCTTGGGAGCTTCGGCAGGTTTCAGCATAAGATGAGCCATTCCATTCTCGTCCTCCTCATCTTCCATGTCATCCTCAAGCTCTTCCGATTCTTCAGCGAAAACAGAAGTTGTGGTTTCCACCTTTTGACGTTTTCGCTCTTGCATTTTTTCTATAACAGGCATTGAATCGCTTAATATCGACCATTTCACAGAACTGAATCGAGATTTTGGAGAAATCTAATCTGCATAGTCAAACTAGGAAATCCAGGACTCTGGTCCTGGTCAAACTCTAAGGATGCGTTCATACTTTGTGGCATCGTAAACAAGCTTGCACCACCGTCCGCCAGCAACCACTACCATTCCGAGCTTCCGGCCACGTCAGCGATTGAAAGTATAGATCTAGCGTCTGCCGGCGACCGTCAGCCTCTTAAAGGCTACGGAAGTGTAGCTTTTGATCTAGCGACCAGCAGCGTCTACCAGCGTCCATCAGCTTCCACCAGCGTTCACCAGCGACAGGGAGTAGAGAGTATGGGGAAGTAGGAGGGTAGCAAACAGCTGGATTAGGCGTCGTGAAATTGCCGACGTGTGCAACCTCACTGTACAATTATACTACACTGTACATTGAATAGCATAATTCTGTGCTTTAGCAATGCAGTGCGGTTGCCAATTTCACGACGTCTAATCCAGCTGTTTGCTACCCTCTTACTTCCCCTCCCTCTTCTCTACTGGCGGTCGCTGTTGAACGCTGGCAGACGCTCGTGGACGCTGGCAGACGCTGGTAGACGCTGGCCGTCGTCAGATTGATATCTTACTTTCTTAATCGCTGACGTTGCCAAACGCTAGTGATTGGTGGTGGACGCTGTCGCAAAGTATGGAAGCAGCCTAATGACTTCAAAGTACGCTTCCCAACCTTTCATTGCTTTAGTGATGAACTCAGACTGGTCTGATGGCAGTGATCCGCGCTCCAACACTTCGCCAGGATTTGAAGGACGTCTTCCCAAATATGGCGTAGATCCTTGTTCTGTAGGAACTCTTTCAGCTGCTCCATACAAAGGACAGCACATTCGCGCTGAAAAAGTACTTGATTGAGGAAAAAAAGGAAAAACTGAATGACTTCGATAACGTACACTGCTTCTCGACGTCTATTGCGCAGTAGAATCCCTTTGGACAGAGTTTCATTCCATCGAATCCAGCACCGCAGCCTATAGGTTCTCCGTTCGATGCCATAAGAGGATCGGAGGCGTCGGGGCACATGTATTTCGGGGTGGAGAGCAGAATGTTACGAGCATGAGCTGGAAGATTGCACTTTGGGTGGACACAGAGTCAATCCTACTGAAGTACAAAGAAAAAGGTAAGCTGAAAAAGGAAACAGTTTAGGCTCACCTCGTGGTACACCACGTACCTCAGGAGCAAATCTCACTGATTCCTTTTCTACTGAAAAGAATCTTTGAGTGAAAGTCACCTCTACAAATAGTTGCATAAAAACTTTTGACAGAAACCAACTTACCTTTTTTCTCCAGGCCACTGGGAATTCTTTCCTCCGGTTCGCTGTTGGCACAGCAGACGTCAGGCGGACCATGGAGGCAATAATATCCCGCAGGACAACCGATGGAATCGGTTGTATTTCCACAAAGAACAGGTGCCGATCCGCCAAGAGGTGTTTTTCCATCGGGACACTGTCCTTGAAGAATAGGTGGAGGTGTGGAGTCAGCAGATTCCGGCCGAGGCCCTGTAAGAAAGCTCCATTTGACTGCATCAAGAATAGAGGTGTAAAATATAATGACTTACGCTGCCCGCCAAGAACACAGAGTCGTTGGCAATCAACGATGCTACCAAAGTTGTTGTTGTTTCCTTTGCAGCCAGTGTAGTAGAACAGTCGACACTTGTCTGAGTCACGGTCGTAATAGTACCTGGAAAATCCACACTTTCCCGAGATTTCTAGAACTAATCACGAGTAATAACAGGGCACATCATTGGTTGCGGATTTTGGTCGAGTCCGTACGCCCCCTTTCTGGGGGTTCGTCCGGGGGTTCGTACGACCCCCCACCCCCTCTGGCACTCTGCCCTCCTCACGGCTGTGATGCGGGGGAGGGGGGGGCGTGGGGAATATAGCACACATGT